CTCTCTCTCTCTCTCTCTCTCTCTATATATATATATATATATATATATATATATATATATACCCTCATTCTCTGATTTCTTCATTTGATGTTCTCTGTTTTTTTATTCTTTCTTGTTGTATAGAGTTTTAATGGAATTCATCAATGAATTTCAATCGTTTTAACTTAGTAATTTCTTTTCATGTTGCACAATTGATGTTCAAATTGAAATTGTCAATCAATAAATTTTGAAGGTGTTTGACTCTCCACCATTGACACCCATTAAAAATTTTTGAAATCGAATTTGGATTTTCAAAAATCATTATTTGAGGGTGTTTTGGTGAAGATTAGACTTGATTTTGGCTGAATTTCAGATTTAAACTCAAAGAACACATGACATACAATGTACTTACGAAATTGTAGCAAAGTTGTAGTATAATTGTATGTAATTGTATTCTGTTGTAATTATATTTTTTTTATTTGAATGTTGTATGAAAGTTAAAAAATAGTTGTATAATGTATGAATCGTTGTATAAAATTTGTATTTAAGTTATCAATACTATCTTTTTATATAAAGTTGTTGATATGTATCAAAATTGTATTAAGAGAGTAAGTTTTGATTGGAATTTTAGAGAAGAAAAAGCACACACCACAGACAAAATATATACAAATCAGATACAAAATATATACAAAAGACATATTGTATAAATTTTGTATTAAAATTATATTTAAGTTGTATGATATTGTAGTTGTATTTAATTAGGTAGAAATAATGTATGAAAGTTGTAAATAAGTTGTATAATATATAATTAGTTGTATAAAATTTATTTTTACTATGTATGTTGTTGTAGATATTCAAATTTGCATTAAATTTGTACGAATTTTATTTTTAATATGTATATTGACGTACCATATATTGTCCTTAAAGATAGAGATTTTATGTGTTTAGTTTGAATATAAATATGAAATGAAGTTTAGATTCAGTAGAAGTTCTGTTTTAGATTATGCTAATGAATAATTTTTGATTCCTTGGGAAATATAATTCTGACTCGGTCCTATGTATTATATAAATTTTTCTATTATATACAAACTAAAGGACGAGCATTTGTTGATTGAGCAAGAACAATATTTGGATAATAGATTTCATAGTACTCGCTTTGTTTCATTTTATATGGTATCGTTTCCTTATTAATCAGTTTTAAAAAGAATGTCAACTTTCTATCTTTGAAAACAATTTAATTTTAAACTTCTCCATTTATCTCCAATAACATAATTTTCTAGCCACAAAAATCTATGATTTGTTTACGACCAATATATATTCTCGAAGTTCTAATATTTCCATCACAAAAACCGACATCACATAATTTAACTAGAAAATAAATTGGCAAAATTGTATATATTTATGGGTTGCAAGTACAGTGAGACTGTCAATTTTAAATTATATCTGTGCAGAGTAGAAAGGCAAAGTGGAATAAAAAATAAAAGAGATTACCAACTTCTAATAGCTGAGGCTTCACTCTTTGATCGCTTTCAAGCAGGTTTACGATTGGTTTAACATATGAAGTCAAATAGAATACAATTACTTTTTTTTTTTTTTTTGGTTTTTTTTTTTGAGTCTACTTTGGAGAGAAATTTGTGGGAACTATCCATGAAACTAACTAATACTCCTAGTAAGTGTGGAATAGGATTATTTAGCAATTGGTTTTCAACTGCACTGCATTATAGAGCGCTATCAGCTTCGTAGTATGTAGTTCAAGAAACGGAACTGAAATGAAACTGGTGTTTTAGTTGAATACGATATTCTTCGTGGAGAATTTAGTTACTTGATTTGTTTTGTAAAAAATATTGACTGTTGGGAGTATCTTTGGTCCCAATATTCCGGAGAGAAAGAGGCGAGAGAGGAGAGAAAAAAAGGAAGAGGGTGTAACTAAATCTCTTGATTGAATGCACTAATAATGGATTGAGAGCCTTTTAAGGTGAATTGTATATAGTTTGTAAGTAATCCTTGTTTATGGCGGGTAATATACAAAATTAAAATAATTTTGATAAATAAATTTTAAATATTATATATGAACGAAAAAATCTCAGTAGAAGAGGCTGAGATTTTAGGGAGTTATCCTTTTGTATGAACTTTGCAACCGTTTCACTGTCACATAGTGTTTAAGGTCTTGTTTACACAACAATAATATACCTAATATAATTCTACAAATAAGGTCCGAGAAGCGTAATGTATACACAATCCTTATTTTTATTTTGTATAGGTAGAGAGACTGTTTCTGATAGATCATCGGCTCAAGAAAGAAAAAATCACTACTATAAAGTATTATTTTAAGACTTCATTGAAATGTACGCACAAATATGCACAATACATTCAGGGGCGGAGTTAGTATAAAATTTACGGATTCGACCGAACTCAATAACTTTGATCAAAATGTTGTATTTATCTTATAAATTCATTAAATATATATAAATTATTAATTTAAAATTCAAAAATATCGAACTCATAAAATTTAAATCATAGGTGGCGACTATTGACTATGGCATAAATGAAAGTATAGCAATTTGTATATGCTTCGTGGCTTAAAAGTACTCAAAAGCATATGAAAGTGCTATGTTTTATAGATTCCACTCCCACTCCACAAAGCTATAAAAGCAATATGACCCACCATTCCTTGATTGATGGATGCCAAATTGATCAGTACACTCTACCGTACCCTTCCAAATCCTTTTACTTCTTCATTCTTCTTGAATCTAGAAACAAAAGCATATGCTAATAATATGCCTTTTGTAGAAAATTTAAAGGAATCACATTTCCTTTATCCCAATGTCAAGAAAACACATATCAACATTTTGAATATTTCAACATCAATAAAGTAAAAGAACAAAAGTTTATCACACCCTTTTACAAGAACTTCCATCAAGTTAGAAGTTAAAAACTATAACCAATGGATGTGGAGGGATCACCCTTATATTAGGGCCCGTTTGGCCATTACACAAAGATTCAGATCAGTAAAGAGGAAAGGATGGAACTTTGTAACTATAATTTCAAACACAAATACATGCAGAAATTTTCTTAAAGATCCATAGCATTATAAAAGCAGCAAACTTTATTACATAGTAGTGCTTCTCTAAACAAAACTGAAGGATAAAAGGCTAAAAGCACAAATACTTCCCTCTCTCCCTCAACCTTTGATATTCCAAAAACATATAAAGGTGGGGAAAGCATGGAATTTTTACATATATAGCCGCAAATTTTTCTTTCTTTTTATTTTCCTCATAATATGTACAGCACAAGCATAAGCACAAGCACAAGCTTAACAGATTTGCACTATTAGTAATTAATCATCCACTGATCTTGTCTCTCCTCCATTAATTACCCATTGGTGTCCTGCATTTAATAAATAAAAATCTAAATCAGCTGGAGTTGATCAAAAGTCAAACTAAAATAAAAGCAAAAAAAAGAAAAGCTAAAAATACACACTTAGCACTTGTTCTGCTGAAAACCTTCTAGAAACATCCTTACAGATCATTTTCCTCAACAAATCCTTAGCTTCAGGCGAAACCGACCTGAAATTCCTAGTGGGAAATCTCAAATTTGCCCTTAAAACAGCCTGAAATGTCTCAGTCGGAGTTTCGCCGTAAAAAGGAGGAACTCCGGAAAGCATAATATACAAAATAACACCGGCGCTCCACACATCCACTTTCTCATTGTATTCTTTACCCGTTAAAACCTCCGGCGCCACGTAATACGGCGTACCCACCACCCCACTCATCAACCCCCCCTCACACCCAACAAACCACTCCGCAGATCCAAAATCAGCCAACTTCAATCTGTCCTGAGAATCAAAAAGGATATTATCCGGCTTAATATCGCGGTGGGCCACCCCCATTTTGTGACAGTGATTAATCGCGGAAATTAATTGAACCAGAATATTAGCGACGGCGCGTTCGGATAACGGCCCAGTGGAAACCCGCTCGTAAAGATCGTTGTTAGGGCAGAGGTCGGATACCATGTGAAGGAAGTTTTCATCTTCGTAGATTTTGTAGAGGTGGAGAATGTTTGGGCTACCGGAAAGGAGCTGAAGAATCTTGGGCTCCTTGTCGAGGCACTCACGGTCGGTGGAATCGAGGAGGAGGGATTTTTCGATGGATTTACAGGCGAAGGAATGACCGGTGACCGGAGAAAAGCAGCGGTAGACGGTACCGAATCTACCACGGCCGATTTCTTCGCAAATTTGGAAGTCGATTTTTAAGGCTTGGCTCATATTCTCAAGGCTTGATTTGATTTTTTGGGGGGTTTTGTTAAACAGAAGAGGTTATATTTATAAGAGTAAAATACCGAATATTCGTAGGTAGGTTTTACTTGAAGGTAGAGAAATAGAGAGAGAGAGAGAGAGAGAGAGAGAGAGAGAGAGAGAGAGAGTTATTCAATGGGATGGTTAGTCCTTTTTTGTACGTATATTTTTATTTGTGTAGTATACTTTAATTGATCGTAACAGTTTAAATTAATTACTTGATTTACTCTAATTCTATGACTAGTTGACTACTATGTGTTGTAATTTGAGTTGGTCTCACTCTCCAAGTATAATTTTATAATAGAGAATTTTGTACGCTATTAATAAAAATAACATATTTATTGCATATAGTCGTAATTAATTGCAAGAAAAAAGAAATTGGAACTCGCTCCGATGTGGACTTTACCTTAAATAGTTTTACTCCATATTTTTTAAATTAATAAAAAGTTTATAAAAATTTATACATATTATTATTGCTAAATAGACCTGTGTAAATTAATTTTTGAATGTTATAAATTTTAATTTATTTTGTGTATTTTTTGTATTTTAAATTTGTTTATTAAATATTAAAAATAGTTGAAGCATGACTCACGACGATGACAAGACACGAGGCGTACTGCATGTCTCGGTGGAATCACTTTAAAAGTTAGTTCAATTTTAATTAACCTTAAATTCTACTAATTTATTTTATATCTTGAAATATACTTTTGTTATTATTTCGATGGGTTCTTTTGCTTCGATTTTTTAAATTATTTTGTTATTATTTTTTTTATGGCTTTTCCATTACCATATTACTTTTAACATTATTACGGCTATGTTTTTTTTGAGTTGAGGAACTATCATAAATAATTTCGTTACTTTCACAAGTTAAAAGTAAAATATAAATACATACTCCCCTTCTCGTGTGATTTTACTAAGTTTGTTATTATTACTGTAATAAATATTAAATAATAAAATTTAAGGGTATGAACACGAAGATTATTTTCTATACAATCAAATGGTTTAGTGACTTCATAGTGTAAGCAGTTAGGTCATCTTTTATCTTCGGCACAGTTTTGTATGTTATTGGCAAGAAAGTGGACTTCCTTTTAATTAAAGAATATCCTTTTTTTCTCAGGTATAGTTTGTATGTTAACGGCAAGAAAGTGGACTTACCTTTAATTAAAGAATAGTAATTTCAGAACTTCGGATTTCCTCTTTTTCTAGGTTTATACTTTAAACCTGTTATATTGTTGTTGATAGAAAAAATCTATTCCCAAAATCCATACTTAAGCAAGATTCAGTGTCAGTTCACTCCTTAGTTTCTACATTATTAAATACTTTATTACTTATTAAAATCTTTTTTATAGTAAATACCTTTCCCATTTGACATAGCTCTATATATTGACTATATTCTTGATTGTTGGTGTACGTGTGAATTATTTTCTTATTTTATGAGTTAAGGAACTAATTCTCCTTTTAATTAATATGAGAACTATGACGTTCGTCCACTTAATAATGCTAATATTATATCATAATATATATCCTTGTATAAGCACTTCAAATAAAATAAAATAATACCTGTATTAGCACAGTCGTGATAGAGATTGAGACGAGACATTCAATCAGCAGCTAATAAATATAGTTAAACCAACCTTTTGCTAGCAATAATTTTTAAATTTTCTCTTATTAGTAGAAGATTCCATAAAGTGTGTTAGAGAGATAGACCTAATTACAAACCTTCCTAAAAATTAGTACTCCATAGGGGTTGCATATTATGGGCAGATGCAGAATGTCAGTTACAGGTTTATCTGAATCCAATAATTTTAACTTAAATCTTATACATGTATTAAGAAATTATGAATCCCGAACTTGAACGAATAAAATTCAAATTTTGAATTCGCCTATATTACATGTTCTATTAGAAGTTTTTGATACCAACGTTCAAATTTTACCTTAATTACAAGAAGTCTGCTTTCCTCAAAATTATTTTAAAAAAAAAATTAAAAAAAAATGAATGAATATATCATACTCGTGGAGTAGATAAGATTACAAATTGAAAGATACTTATTTGTACAATTAGAACAGTTTGAGGGATGAGACAGGTGTTTATTAGTTGGATAACAACAAAGTGGAGTCAATTATTGCAAAGGCCCAAAGGAACAATGCTAACTTTCGTCTCGAGAAAGTTTGATTTTCATTATTTTGTGTTTCCAGAATTGATCTAGAGGATAATGGCAAACTCTGAACTAACTTTCGCTTTCTTAATTATATTTTAATAACATAGGAGTATTCATTAACCAAGTGGAGTATTAGAAACCATATCCATCTTTGTTATTCCCTCACCCAAGGGCGGCATTAGGTGGGGAAGAGATACAGCCGAATTTCTTTCGCCGAAAATTACACTGTGATCGGTGTATATAAGGTTAATATATATATATATATATATATATATATATATTAGATGTTGAATCTCATTAATTTCTTCGCGGGTTTAGTTTTTATTTTTTGAATTTTCTTAGTAAAAATTCTGTTTCCGTCACTGTCTCACCCGACTCCTCCAGCTGAGGCCTCAATATTGTTGATGGACATCTGTTTCTGTTACAATTAAACTGGTGAAAATGGTCTTAAGGAATCTTGTGATGTATTATAATCTATGCTTAAGCTCCCTTTTTAATTTTTTTATTGACAACTTTGATGTATTATTACAACAACAACAACATACCCACACAACGAGGTCTTGGGAGAATAGTATATACGCATACCTTATTCCTACCTTGTGAGGATAGAGAGGTTATTTTCAGGATATTATAAGTACCACGTTAACAACTTTGTATTCTATATTAGTATGACCTATCTTATTTATTACTTCTAGAACTAAACAAGGAAAATTGATTGGCTCAGCTAGTATTTAATACCATGGATCGTTTTTGCACAATTAGGACTTGAAAATATCGTAAGCCAGTTCCTTTTACCTTTTATTTTTTTTTACTTTTATAATCGAAAGATAAATTTAATATTTCACTTGTTTGAGTGTCGCAAAATCTAAAAATTTATTACTCTAATAAAGGAGAATGATTGCAATAGGTTAATGATATACAATTATAGTCCAATTGTAATAATCTTTGGATATTATATTTAAATATTCATATAGTTGAATCCCGCAATTTTGAATTTACATATCGTTTATGGAATTCTTAATTTTAATCGGAATCACAACTTTGAAATCCAAATACTTGAATTTTTCAAGTACCATTTAAACATATGTAATGAGATTGAGACAATGCTAGACCTTGAAGTGTCCTATGGATTTTAATTCCTATAATTAAATCAGCAACTCTTGAATCTTTCATATCAAACTTGCTATCAAACATACACTTAGTAGCATTTATATCTGCAATGTCTTTGCTCATTATTAACATATCATCAAAATATAAACATACGCGATTTGGAGTGTTCTTAACGTAAACACATTTATCACACTCATTAACAAGTCGCCACACTTTTTTTTCTTTTTCAGGAATTATGAACCCTTCAGGTTGTTTCATATAAATTTCTTACTCCAAATCTCCATTTAAAAAAGTGTTCTTCACGTCCATCTGATGGATTTCAAGGCCATACACGGCGGCTAACCCTATTAACACTCGAATAAATGTAATCTTCGTTACCGGCGAGTTTGTATCAAAGTAATCAAGACCTTCTCATTGCAAAAATATCATAAAGGGAAAGATTAAATCACGGAAAAAGAAAATAAATTTGGTCCAAAAAATTTATCAATCAAATCAATTGACCAAAACCGAGCTGAGCGAGCGACGACGTGAGGCACCACTTCTTCTCAACCCTTTAAGAGCTAGAAGATGTGCTTCTATATATAAACACAAGAATTTTCTTTCCATCTTTCGATGAGGGACAAAGTGCCTTAGCAAAAGAAACACTTCAAACTTTACGTTTCGCTCCAAATCTTTTCCCTCCATTTCCCATTCACACTTCTTTATTTAGTTAGATAAAAACCCAATATTTAATACGTCCTTTATTTTAAAAAATAGACATATTACTATTTAGGGAGTTAAACATATTTTTCTTTGATCATATTTTTTACAAATAATTTTTAAATATTTTGAATCGTTAATTATCATGATTTATATATCTTTTTATGTAGCTTTCAAATATGTAAATTTAATTTTAAAAATAAAATAAAAAATCTATATCCGAATTTATATCGAAAACTAATCAATTTAACATTAGTACTCCGAAATAGAGGGAATAAATGTTGAACTCCCTTTTAAAGAAAAAAATGCAATCAAGCATAAAACCACACCTAGCTATTCTTGTCTGCTTGCTTAGTATTGTTTGGCAGTACCAAAATCATGAAATTTCAACCACACAACCCATAAAACGAAATGTCGATCCTTTTTTCGAAAATTTAATGCTCATTTGTTCCTCGTTTATGTTTAAAAGAAAAGAATTATGAATGGATAGTAAACTGACTCGATCAAACATATTTTCTCAAACATTTTAAGGCAGAGTTTCAAATGTAGCCCACAGTATTTCACAAAATCTTCATTAAATTCAACAATTTGCTATTTTACTAGTAATAGAGTGCCACTTGCCACCAAATGCCAATAATGTGGGGTGACACAACTTGCACACTCCACACTATACTAATATACAACTCAATTTCTAGGTTGTATTTCCTTTAATTACTTTTAGAAAGGATTATAATACTCCCTAAGTCTCACTTTAATTAATTTTTTTACCTTTTTTTTAGTTTATAATAATTAATTTTTTCAAATATCAAGAAAGAATTTAATTTCTTTTTTCTCAAAGTGACCTTGGAGTAAAGAATCTTGAAGTATCTATTATATTTTTAATGAACAAATTATGGTGAAAATAACCAAAAATAAAATCAATTAAAATGGATATATCAAAAGCATTCTTGATTACTCATCAATAATAGAGATTCAAGGAATCAATGCATCTTGTCGAGTATCACCTCAGAATACTTTTTATTATTTAATAGTATGACTTTTGAAGCCGTCCATTTGAAAGAGTAAAGACACATGGCCAAGATAAGTACTTTTGTTAAGTGAGAAGGAAGTGAGCGAG